TGGTGCCTCAGAGTAAACGGCGTCAATTCCAAGCCTTTCAACGTTGGTATTGGTCTCTACCAAGGCTATGTTGTTCCCTCTCCTGTTTATGTTGTACATAGATAGAATAATGGGAAGCAGCCAAGACGATGAGTGTATGGGTGTAGGAGATGTGGAGACGAGAAGATTGTTGTTTTGTGACGACCTTGTTCTGTTCCCATCATCTGAAACTCTTCCACAGCACTCGATTTGAAGATTTGCTGCCGAGTGTGACATGGCGGCCAGGCTTCTGAACGTAGAAGCAAAGTGCTTTCTCGTTTTCCTGCCCATTGTTCTTCCGATAAACGGCGAAACGGTGGAGAAGTTCAACTACCTAGAGTCATAGTGATGCAAAATTCGAGGAAGAGATCGGCCGGCTATAATAGGAGTAGGAAGTTACGCTCTGCGTGAACTAGCCCGAAACCATTGTGACTAAAGCAGAGCTGAGTCTAAAGATTAAGGTATCGCTATTCAGGTCGATCTTTATCCCGATGTTTTCCTACGGTCATGAGATGTGGACCATGAATGAAACACTGCTGGCTACAAAAGCTGCTGAAATTGGCTTTCTTAGACGAGTTACTGGTTTTACGCGTCTCGACATGGTCCGGAATTCTGATATTCGGAAGAGCCTGGGTATACAGCCATTGCTTCTCAAAATTGAGAAGTCACAGCTGCGATGGTTTGGGCATGTGCTGCGAATGCCCAAAGGAAAGCTAAGTAACTGTTGCGAAACCGACCGTCAGATGGCCAAGATTAAACTGGTTCAAATGTATGGAAGGAGTCTGTTCCAGACTCATCTTCTGCCGAAGCTCAGACTCTGGCACAGGATCAGGAACGTTGGAAGTACAGTCTGAGCGGCTGCCTCAGCGACCCGACGGGAGAAGCGGTAGTGGGAGATGTCGATTAAGTAATTTGAAATTATACAACTTCGATATTAACTTGAGAAATACTTTGACACAACAGACTCTGTGATTCGTATGCTTCTGTAGATCTGCCTAAAATGGTATGTTTTTAAAAATAGTTGTACAATAATGATTTGTACTGAAATCTGAAATCTTGTGATGCGGCGGTGAGAAACAACATTCTCCCTCTCCCGTCGGTCCTTCCAGGTGTGAATGGCTATGGTGCATGACGGACTATGATCAGTTATCTATTATGAGGACGTCGCAGTACCGTGAATGTCTAGGGAGCACTACGGATTTGGCACTATTGATCATGCGTTACTCTCCTTCTACTTCTTATTTTTATCTTTCTGATTGTATCACGTGCATTATTATCGTATCAGATGCTCAGCGCCGATTAGACGAGGCTTTACAAAAGTTTAGAAAGAATTTAGAACGACTCCACCAAGTATGCCACTGGAGACTTTTTCATGTTTCTAACGTATTTCATTTATGTACGAATTAGCGTTTTCTAACACTGATCGCTAGTAGCAGAGGGTATGAGAATTTGAGTTCGGTATGATTTGTTTTTGAAGAAACATCTTAAGTAAGTCATTTTTTCTGTTGCTAAATTTAGCCGTGATTCTTGCGCTTCCACAACTTCAGGAGTTTCTAATTCAATATAAGGCTTGTTTAGTCCGTTTTAATGTGCTTATTAGCAGACTTAAGTATTGGCATATGACAGTATTAATCATGATACTCGATATCATTAATCTGGGTACTATATCCTTGACTGATGTCCCAGATGACGATAACAACAACATTAGCATATGAATTTTTAGTGAATGCAAATAATTTACTAGTCTTCGCTTCAAAACCCACATAGAGCCTGGGAT